CCCCCCGCCGGGCCCATCCGCCCCCCACGGCCGCGCTGAGTGCTGGCGGTGGAGGCACGGCAGGTTCTTTTGTTGCTCTTTTACACGTTCAAATGCCGACGACTTGAAAACAACAAACAAATAAAGAGGGGTCGCTGCAGCGCGGCCCCGGGTCAGCAGCAGCTCGTTTATGGCTTCACCCCAACGCAGCGCAGCAGCAGTTCATTCGTGGGAACAAAGCAGAACTCTCTCTTTATACATTATATATATATATATATATATATATATAAAACCAGAGCTGGAACAGATGATGCATTTCATACAGACGTCTCGTGACGTACAGCACTGCCATCCCGCAGCACCACAATCTCCTCCACGCCATTCCTCGCCGCACGGAGCAGCGGGGCACAAAGTGCTGCTCAGAGCCCGGAGTGCAAAGCGGGCACCGCCAGGGGGCTGCGGGGCGGGGGAGGGGGGTCGGGGCAGAGGGCAGCCGGGGCCGTGGGGACGTCCCTATGGCCGCAGTGCTGTGGGGCGGCCCCACGTCCCACCGAATGGGGCCAGGAGGGGCTGCGCGTCCCGCTGCCCTCGGGATGCGCGGCGTCGAGCTCCAGCGCTGCCCCACTGCTCTGCTGGGATTTCTGATCTCTGCCATCGTGCTGTGAGTCCCGACCTGACCGGCAGTGCCGGGAGCGGCTGCAGCGGGGTCGCGGTTCGGCCGTGGGGAGCTTCGGGGCGCAGCGCAGCCCCACTGCAGCGGTGCTGTGGGGGCACGCGGCGTCTGAAGGTCACGGGAACGTTTGGGGCAATGCAGGGGGAATTAAGGCAAAGCCGGCACGGAGAGGCCTCCCAACTGCTCTGCACCGGGAGCCCCAGCCGAGCGGGCAGCAGAGCCCTGCACCGCCCCGTGCCGTCGGTCAGTGCCGCGCCGCCGGCCCGCTGCGGTGACTTTGGGTCCTCCCGCAGAGCCGGGAGGGGGGGCTTGAGGCACCGCCGTGGGGGGGCGGGGGGGCATCGGTACCATAAATGCTTTGGGGGAGAATTCAGAAGCTTTTCCCATCGTCCCGACCCACGGCGGCCGCGCAGAGCCGTCGCAGAGCGACCGCGGCCGCGGAGCTCCCGGACTCGGGTTCGTCGAGCGCCGAGCTTCGGGGCCGTCCGGCGCGGCGCCTCCAAACGGATCCCACGGGCCGGGCGGTCGCAGCCCCAAAGCTCCGCGCCGCTCCCGGGGCCGCAGGGCGGCTACTTGCCCGGCACGCAGAGGACGAACCCGGAGCGATGCTTGGTGAAATCCGGCTGCGATTGGTCGATCCGCGTCTCCACGGAGACGGAGCACTTCCTGCCGTGCAGGCTGCACTGCACCGGGTGAGCCACGCTGACGCGCAACGCGCGCTTCTCGCTGCAAAGCAAAGGGCGGCGGTCAGCACAGCGCCCGCACCGCGCGACGCCCAGCCGCGGCCCGGCGCTCCGTGCGAGCCGCTGCCACGAGCCGCGGCCCCGATCCCGCTTAGGCGGCTATTTTTGCTCCGTCTTAGCGGGCCGTGCTGCGGGCTCAGCTCCCCGAGTCACATGCCGGCACGCGGCCCGGCGCGGCCTTCAGTGGGGCGGGATGAGGCAGCGGGCTCGGCGCCCGATAGCGGGAGCTCCCACGGCTCGGCCTCCCGACCAGGCTTCGCCACAAGCCGGCGGGCGCTGCCCGGCTCCCTGCACAGCTGAGGCCGCGAAGGGACCGGAGGCGTCACACAGCGCCAAGCGGGGCGCAGGAGACCCCCGGGATCGTCCGGTGCAACCCCGACCCTCAGCGCCCACCCAGGGAACGTGGAAAAGACCTCAGAGAAAAGCGCAGGGTCTGGAGGAGGCCGGGTGTCAGCAGCCCCACCGCTGGCACCGAGGCTCCGTGCGGGGCAGATAAGGCCCAGCGCTGCAGCAGCCATGTGTGTGTATCTCCTGCAGCACGTTGGGGCGTGCGGCACAACGATACCAAGGTTGGAGGGCGTCCCCACTTCTGCTCCCCAGAAGCAGAACAATTCCCAGGGTGCTTCACAAGGCTCTGCCATTTCTTCTCCCCTGGTTCAAAGCCTGCCGTCGTTTATCCCTTACAAAGCATTTGCTAAAGCTGCTCCGTGGTCTGCGGGATGAAAAACGTGGCTGCTAAGTAGGGAATTCCCAGGAAATCTCATCAGCAAAGCAGCTTGCAACAAACAAAGCACGGGCAGCGCGTTAATATTTCATGTCCTCCACCAGGAGAAAGATTTCCAAGCAGAGGGGGGCCCACATCCATGGGGTGCAGCTCCAGCACCCAACGGCCGCCCCATCTCTCAGCTATCCTGAGGTCTGGCAGAGATGTGGGGAAAGGCTCCCATCTGCCTGTTGGCTTTGGTACGACCCGACCTTGCCACAAAATGCCCCAGTGCTGCGTTTCTAACGAGAAACCACCGTGCCAAGAATGTGATTCAGCTCCTGGCCATGGATGGAGTGAAAGCAGCATCGGAAATGCAGCAGCACCAGTGATGGAGGAGCACTTAGGAAGATGAAGGCAGAGTGCTTTCCTGGCTCTGACATCACAGCTCCATCCCTGCACAGGATGAGCAGCACCAAGCTGTCCTGCTCCCACAAGGAGCAGTGCTGCACATCCAGCTCAGGGCTCCCGATGGCCACTTCCTCACGAGACGTTGGTTTAGAGTTCATAGAACCAGGGGCTCATAGGATGGTTGGGTTGGAAGGGACTTTAAAGGTCACAGAAACATGGAATCATGGCTTGGTTGGGTTGGGTTATGTGGGGTTGGATTGAGTTTGGTTGGGTTGGGTTATGTTGGGTTGGGTTACACTGGGTTGCATTCTGTTGGGTTGGGTTGAGTTGGAAGGGACCTTGAAGACCACAGACCCATAAAACCACAGCACAGTCAAGTTGGAAGGGACCCCAGAGTCTCACCCACAGCCACGGGCATCTCCATGGATGGGGCACCCACACTTGTTTGGGTGCCCTGTGGGTAAGGAATTTCTGTGCTGATGGAGAAATTCAGAAGAAACGACTTCAGTGTGCATCGTTCCCCCCCTGAAAGAACTGGGGCTGTGGGGTTTCAGCTGTGTGCCACCCACAGCACACGGGGATGGGGATCTGCTGCTACCAGACAGCTGCTGAAGCAGCTGATGGTGCTGCACAGCCCTGCGCCCCCAGGACAGCAGCACAGCCCTGCAGCTCTGCTCCCACTGCTGGGTGGGGGTGGGGAGCAGAGCAGCGGCGCTGGGAGCAGGCAGGAGCTGCAGCCCCAGGATGGTCACACAGCTCTGGGGTAAAACTGAGCGTGGGGCTCCCAGGGCTCTGTGGGATCATTGGAGCTCTGTGGGATCACTGGAGCCCTGTGGGATCACTGGAGCTCTGTGGGATCACTGGAGCTCTGTAGGATCACTGGAGCCCTGTGGGATCATTGGAGCTCTGTGGGATCACTGGAGCCCTGTGGGATCACTGGAGCCCTGTGGGATCA